GTTTCAAAGGGGGGAGGAGGGAAGGCGGGGACACAAGGGGTCAGTTTCCGCCGGTGGGGAGTGCGGACCCTTCAGGAGGGGCTGGGACGAGGGGTTTCGGGGTTTCTGGCCGCCTTTGGGGACCCTGCGCGCCCCTCCAGGTCCCGGCCCGCTCGGCAGCCCCCAGCTAACCGACTCGGTTGGGACGGCTGCCTGGAGGGCGGCGGCAAGGCAAAGGAGACCTCGGCCCTCCGCGGTCCGGCTGGTGAAAGCTGCGGGGTCCCTCGCTAACCTCCCCTTCAAAGGGGAGTCTAGGGACGTGGGACGGTCTGGTGGCCTGCTTTAATCAGCTTGGATCCGGTCGGTCTCGCCCAGTCCACGCGGGCGGCCCTCGCCGATCGGGAGCCCTCAGATCCCGAGTCCTTGGGCGAAGAGCGCGGGGGCCTGTGCCCACTGCGGCGCCCCCGTCCTGGGGTTCAGGTCGCGGCCGACAGAGCCCAGCGTGCTCAACTCCAAGTTGGAAGACCCTGAAGTTACCCTGAAAGGCGTGTTAAATGAGACAATTCTAAGAGTTGGGCCAAGCGGGGCGTTATTTTGTTTTGTTTGGATTTTCAGTTAGCACGCTCCCAAAACGACCTCCTTCCTGGAAACAGTAATACCGGCCATTGCTAAGTAGGGCCCCTCAATGGCGGGGCTCGTCCCCCTCGCCTGGTACACAAACACTCGCTTTTCTCTGCTCACTTCGCTGGGCGGCTGCGGCAACTCGGAGGCAAACGCCGGTCTCCAGGCGCTAATAGCGACAAGCCCGGCGGACGGCGCGGCCTTCCCGGCCCGGAGCTCTAGATGGCGCCAGCGAGCCGCACTCGCCGAGCTCCTCTTAAGGGAATCAAGAGCGACTGTCAAACATAAAAGCAAATCAGAGTTTTCAGTTTTTTTAATGTGTTAAGAATGTTATTCCTTAAGAAAATTTGTAGCTAAATTATTCTCACTTAAAATAAACACTTAGTATACCAATTACACAAATGGGCGGGATTTATGTGAGATTTACTTCATCTGCATTTTTGTAGTGGGAGAGAGCCTTGGTGAATACAGATAATAGATGCAAATAAGATTAGAGTTAAAATAAATAAAGTTTCCATCTGAATAACAAGAAATTCAATTTTACACGACTTAGAACTATTTGACGGAATGTCCAGACACGCGGTTCAGGTGCACAATCTAATCTCGTCAAAATAACGTTGCTGTCTCTCCTTGAGGAAAGAAAAATCTTTCTCTATTTTTCCTCTTTCTCTCTTTCCTCATCAGGTAGGCTCCAGTTCATTCCACCGGGGGGGGGAATAGACCCCAAAAGGTAACCGCGGGGGGAGGGTGTGCTTGGGGGCTGGGTGGGCGCAGGCCTGAGGAAAAGCTCTTCGTGCCTCTACTGCGCGCAGGAAGCCGTAGAACAGGAAACGCTGGGAGAAACCGGCTGAAACGAAATCGCGTTGCCCCTCAGCCGGGCCGCGCGGAACTCGGAGACCCGGTCCGTGCCCCCCAACACCCAGGCCGCGGTCCCCGCCCCACCCCGGCCTGCAGGCCGCGCCGGGGGTCTGCGCCCGGACCCCTGCTTCGGCCGCCCGCTCCTCCCCGGCCCCGGAGCCCGAGCATCCCAGGCGACCGGAGCCCCGAGGTGGCCCTGGGGAGACGCGGCCCCACCTCCCGTGCAGACCGCGCGGGTCTCGCGGCTCGCACCGAGAGTGCGGGGCCTCCCCTCCCACGCACGCTGTCTCCAATTTGCTCGGCCTCCGCCGGCCGCTACCGCTCAGGTCAAGGCTTCCCCGCGCCCCCAGGGGCCCCTGGCGCGGAGGGTGGGAAGGAGGGGGGACTGGAATCTGTGTTCGCCTGCCGATTTGGGCCCGGGGGCAGGGGCCCAGCTTCCTTCGGGTGCAGACTCCGCGAGCTCCGGTCTCCCGGCTGGACGCTCCGGCCCGGCCGCCGCCCGCGGTTCCCGGGAGCCGCGGTGATGGACGTCCGCTGACCCTCGGGGCAGAGGCCTTGATCACTGGGCTGCGGAGGGAGCCGCGCGGCGAGCGGGACCTGCACGGCCAGGCCCTTTGATCTGCCTTTATTATCCACGAGAAACAAAGCTGCCTGGGACAGACGCCCGGGCGCCCTCATGCCTCAGGAAACCCCAGCACACTCTCACCTCCGTGCCGCCGGCCCGCGGCCCCCAAACGCGCAGGGCACGCTCTCTCGGCCTCCAGCGCCACGGCCCAAAGCCCCTGGAGCGAACGCACCCCGGCCGGCTTCTCCAGGAGACCCAGCCCGACCCGGGCGGCGCGCGGGGGGCTAGGGTGGGAGGTCCTGGATATGAACTATTGGAGCGGGGAGAGAAAATGGTCAAAGAGAAGAAAAACTCGAGGAAGAAGAGCGGGGTAACCGAGGCTGTGGGGACCGCGAGAACGAGGAGAGGGAAGAAGACACCGAACCTCACGCTGCAAATGCCCCTCTGGGGACCTTAGCTCCGTGTTTTATCGCTACTTTGCTACTTGGCTTGTCAGAGCAGAGTTTGCGAGAAAATATTTTGTTGGTAGTTAATAACAATAATTTATTTTTTCATCCCTAAAAATCAAACCTCCATTCAAGTTCCCAAGATGGACAGTAATAAAAAAAAAAAAATTCCACTGGGGCTGACTTTGCTTGTGTTTCCTATTGTGTGGGGAGCCTTTCAGAAATATTTTTATTCTGTAAATATGTACTTTATTTTCTAAATTAACATTTCGAATTGCGAAATTATCTCATTTACCAATTTTCTTTTTCGTCTCTCTCTCTCTTCTCCCTCTCTTTTAAACTGGGGCTGTTAAGTTGGTGGTCAGAAGACAAAGAGAGTGAAAATAATTTTCATTTCAATAATTGCCTTCTGGTCAATTTAACTGTGCCTTATTTTGAAAGAGACTGTCTAAATGAGATTCCTGTCCCAAATGTGTTCCCAGGCCTGATCCCAGCCTTTAATTATTCCTGAGTTTTTTTTCTTCAGAATAAGACGCCGCACTGAGTAATCACAAAGAAGTCAGAGAGCATCCTTGAACCTTTTCAGAAGCAGCGCCACTGATATTCAAATAACCTGCGAGGGCCATTTGACGGCGCGGGGACCTAGGCATTTCCAATTCACTATTTGCATAGATCAGCCCTCTTTGAAAAGGAAAGGAGCAGTTGTCTTCCATAACATTAAAAAGCCTAGTTATCAAATCAAGTGCTTAGTTTGGGGGCTTTTAAAACGTTTACATTTTATCTCAGGTTGCCCTTTACCGTTTGACATGCAAATTTGGTGCAGTTAATTTAGACAATTAAAAAGATCTTCAAGGGAGCTTTGTCACAGAGAATATTTGGAGTTTTCCCCGTGGACCAGCTGAGATAAAGTTGGCCAGAACAAATGATGTCTAGGAGATTAATTAGATATTTGATAAGACATGAATCCCTAATAAGGGAATACAAGGCACAGGGGGCTGCTGTGTGCTCTAAGTCAAAATTAATAACATTTAACAAGATTTTCATTTAGGCATGAAATGTCTTTTCCGGGGTATTGACTCTAGCGATTTATTCCCCTGAGTCGCCTCCCAACGTAGAGGGCCTTGGGAGCTAAAAGACTTCTTTTAAAAAGCTTTTTCCTTTCACAGATTGTTTTTAAATCGCTTTTTAAAAACAAACAAACCCACTGGAGTTTTGTCCGACCCCTCCGGGAGGTGTAGACACCTCCCCAGTTAAAGCTGCCAAGGATCTTTGCTTTATTTTAGGGGATCCAGAGTTTTAAAATGTCACCTTTTGAGAGCTCTCTCATTAAGTAATACAACTACACATTCTTATAACCCAATTTACGCTATTGATATACAAATAAATAATTTTGACTTCTCAAAAACGTATATTATGGCTTTTATAACTCACATAAACCTTACATTACCTAAAACTAACATTAAAGGAATTTTTCCCAACAAAAAAAGTCGACCCACATAAACAGGGAAACAGGATTTAAAAAAAAAAAAAGGAAGTGTATTGTTCAGAGTCCTTTAATAATACCAAAATGAAAATATGATGTCAAGATTTTCTTCATACAGATAAACGCATTTAATTTCTTTAGATGACCTTAACTTACGTGTTTGAGTGAAATGATAACTCAACATATTAAATATCTTTTACATATATACTGACTTTCACAAAGTGCATCAGAAAATTAAAAAAAAAAAAACTCCCTGAATTTCAGGAATTCACCAAAAAAACCTCTATTCGAATGAACATTTACAAGAAAATAAAAAAGAACACAATTTTTTGAACCCTATTTATACAGATGTTATGAAATACAGAGAAACTGTCACTAGACTTCCAGTTTAATTTCTCACCTTAAGCCTTTTTTGATGCTTCCTTTTTAGGAAAAAAAAAGTCTCATTGTAAGTAGATATCAAGCAGGACTTGGAGGATTTTATATATAATATAATCCGCACAAAGGGTCTGTTTTTATAGGTCCCGTTTGTTTTCAAATGTTCTGACAGTCCTTTGCAGAGTGGTGGCTTGTTTTTTGAGAAAAGGAAAGAGAAGGGTTAGTGGAGGGGGGGTGGGCTGTGGGGGAGAAGGGAGCGTTTCTGTGTATTGCTCTTCGCTCGAGAAGTTTGTGCGAGAGTGTGTGTGTGTGTGTGCGTGTGTGTGTGTGTACGCGCGCAAGCGCGCGCTAATGTGCGTGCTTGTGGTTGTAGGTCTCCGGTGTGTGTGTCTGTGTATGTGTGCAGTTTTTTAAAGTGTTGTGTCGGAGGACGGTTTGCTTTTGTTCCTGGATCACGCGTTCGATTCTCGTCTGGGCCGGGACAGCAGAGGGTAGCTCCTGGCGTGGCCGGCGAGCAGCGGCCGAGGAGCCGGGTGCAGCTACGCTTCGTGGTGGCCCCGGGGGGACGTCCCTGGAGCCCCCGCCCGTCCGTGCCCCGCTCGCTGGCCCTCCGAACCTCTCGCTCGCTCTCGGTGTCTCTACTCGCTCGCTCGCACTTCTCGCCCGGCCTCTAAGAGTCGTTGGGGCCCGACGCGGTTTCCTTGCCTCCCGCCGAGGCCGCCGCCGCCGCCGCCGCCGCTGCCGCAGCCGCCGCCGCCGCCGCAGCCGCCCGGGCGGCACTGACGCCGGAGTCGTGTAGGATGAGGTCGGGGGACTCGGAGCGGGGCGTCTCCAGGTTGCTGGCGTCCGTGTCACTGTCGCTGCCCTTTTTGCCCCCGCCACCCCCGTTGTGCGTCTTAATGTGTTTGCTCAGGTGGTCGCTGCGCATGAAGCGCTTGTTGCACACCGGACAGGCGAAGCGCTTCTCGCCGGTGTGAGTCCGCAGGTGCCGCTGCAGCTCGTCCGAGCGCGTGAAGCGCTTGCCGCAGAAGAGCCAGTTGCACACGAAGGGCCGCTCGCCCGTGTGCCAGCGCAGGTGCGCCTTCAGGTGCGACGTCTTGCCGTACACCTTGCCGCAGCCCGGGATGTGGCAGCTGTGCAGGCCCTTGCGCCTCAGGCTCGCTCCGGCCGGGCCCAGCCGCTCCGCCTCCTGGCAGTTGGGGCAGTCGCAGGTGGCGCGGCCAGAATAGCGGCGGGCGGAGCGCGCCGAGCTCCCCCCGGCGGCTGCGGCCGCGGCGCCCGAGATCATGGCGCTGGCCGCCGCGGCCGCCACGGCGGCGCTGGAGTCCGAGTAGGTGGGCAGCACCGGCTTGAAGCCGTCCTGAGCCAGCAGGTGCTGGCTGGTGGAAAGCAAGTGCGAGGCGGCGGCGGCCGAGGAGCCGAGGCCCGTGGAGCTGAAGGCCGAGTGCGTGAGCGAGCTGAAGTCGGGGTTGTAGGTGCCGAGCTGCGAGTGCAGCGAGGCCTGGGGGGCGCCCGAGTGCAGCGAGCTCTGGAGCCCCCCAGCGGGGTTCTGCACCTCCAGCCACGAGCCCGGGCTGCTGTGCACGTCCCACCACGACGACGCCGCGCCGTTGGTCACCTCACCGGCCGCCAGCGTCGAGTGGAAGCCCGACTTGTACCACGACTCGTACGGGTGCGCCATGCCCACGCGCGGGTACAGGCCGTCGGCCGCCGTCGTGTGCACCTTGGAGATGAAGGCCGACTGGCCGCCCGCCTCCTGCGGGGACACTCCGGCCGCCGCCGCCGCGGCAGCCGCCGAGTTGGAGAAGAGGCCGCCGTAGTCGCTGCTGAAAGCGGACGACGTGGGGGACGTGGAGGCCAGACAGAAGGCGCTGTTGGCTGCGCCCGAGCCGCCCGCCAGGCCGCCCGAGCCGCGGCCACCAGTGGCCACGGCGAAGCCCGAGAGGCTGGAGCCGAGGTTGCAGCTGGACGAGGAGCGCTTCCAGGGGTGGAAGCCGCCCTTGGCGAAGGCGCTCGACTCCGGCAGCGTCGTCAGCGGGCTCGTGTTGCCGATCTTGTTGCAGGTCGCCGCCAGCATGGCCAACGGGGTCGTTCCAAAGCGCGGCTCTTCCTAGAGTGGGTGGGGTGAGGGAGGGAGCAAGGAGAAGGAGGGCAGGAAGAAGTGGGAGGAAGACACAAAGTGCACCCGTGAGCAGCCTCGTTTCCCCCGCGGCTGGTCCCGGGGGGTCGTGGCTCCCGGGCTCGCGCCTCCTCCCCGCGCGCTCGCCAAGGATGCGCCGCGCCCCGCACGGGGCTCAGGCGATCCCAAGGGCGAGAGCCCCGGCGCTGGAAAGTTGTTCCTCGGTGGGGCTAGAAATCAAAGATGTCTCAGTCCTCCCCGTCTCCGCCGCTACAACCCCTACCCAGGGCCGGACTTGGGTAGCTCGCCTCCCGCTCGCCGTAAGCCCGCTCCTCTCGCTGAGGCCCCCAAATCGCCCTTCGGAGTAAAGCACGGAAGTAAACACAACGACAACAAACACCGGGTGAGGGCGGAGGAGGCCGAAACAGCGGCTCGGGGGCGGGGGAAACTTGGGACACTGCTTCCAAGGGTGGCTACGACTTGACTCTTTTTTTTTTTTTTTAATAGAAAACGTTGTTTTTAATGTTTACAGCCCCCCCCCCATCCTCGATTATGAAAACAAGAATCCGAGAAGGGACCCAGCTATGGATTTCGAGTCACAAGCGAACTGGAGAGCCACAGAAGTGTAAATGTTTGTTAACGTGACTACATGGACTGCAAAATGATTAAGGCTGTTTTCTGGAACACCACTGTCGCGTAATTGCAACAATCCCCGGAGCAAGGGGGGATGGGGTATAAATCACCAGGGAAAGAAAAGAAACCTCTAGGTTTTCTTTAAAGCCACCTAAAAAAAAAGCGTTGCTTAACAAATCATTTTCTCAAAAAGGCATCTCCTAGGTTTCAATAACTTGGAAAGAATCAGCCCCAGATATGTGGAAAGTGCTAAAAGGCGCTGAAGCTGCTGTCCGGCAGCAACAGTTTCTCCGGAGCCGCCGACGCGTAGAAGCCATAACGAAAATTTACTGCAGTTAAAACAAGCAAATGTCTTGCCGCACTTCCGACTTACCCCGAGTATAGACGTGGCCATAGCAGGTCCCTGGGCTGCGCGGCGGGGCCGGGAGCGGGGCTGAGCCTGACGGCTGCTCCGGAAAGCTGCTCGGATACCGCGCAGCTCCCGCGTCCCCGCGCTCGCGCCGAGCGGACTCCGGGCTCCCGCCGGCTAAACTCAGCCTAAGTGCGAGGAGCACCCGCTTTGAAGTGCCGCTGGCTGCGCCTCTCGCCCAATGAGGGCGCAGGCGGAGCAGACGGGAGCTGCCCCGCAGCCAATCAGACGCGCCGAGGGGCCCAAGCCAGGGCTCCCGGCGCGTGCCAGTCAAGGCGGCTAGCGAGGTGTTGGGGGGTGGGGGGAGGCGCGGGCTAGAGACTGAAGAAATTACAGTGCAATTAAAAATTTACACAGACGCATGGAGCCAGGTTTAAGTAGCGCTGAGACCAAGCCACAAGCCCCCCGAACCACCCCGAGATGATGCAAGTTAAAACTGACAGTCCTAGTCCACTCCCCACTTGTGGGAAAGAAGGCAAGGGGGTGGGGGGGCGCCGAGGCGGAGACCGCGCCAGCAAGGCCTAAGTAAAGACGGAAATGTCAACGCTCACTTTGTGTGTCTAGGCTCTCGCCTGCGGAGCACAACTTCAGCTGGGATCCATCATTCTCGCTCACAATTTTATCATTGTCGTTTGTCTTTTACCCAGTTCCTTCTCCCACTGGATTCGGTTTTACCCACTCCAGAGTCACATTGAGGAGAGGGCGCGAAAGGACAGCTCCTCTGAGAGGAGAGAGATAGGCCTCTTCGTCCAGGTCTACACCCATAGACTTGTTGGGAGGGCCTGGAGCCTGCGCATCGCGCCATTTCCCCCAGAGGTCTAAGTGACTTCCTAATTGTCGCTCTGGCCTCTGACCCTGGGGGTAATACAAGTGCCACTCACACCAGAAGCTTCTAGTGGTAATTGAGGGCACCCTTTGTACCGTTTCGCCAGTGCCTAGATACCAGGTTAACCCAGTTGTCAAATACGACTAAACAGTGGGAAGTGCTGATTATCTGCCGGGTTTCGCAGGGGGCTGGCGTGGGGGTGGGAGGCATCAACCCATACAGAACGCTGCACGAAGCCGCTTATTTTCACGTTGTAACAACTTTGGAAACACAGACCAGCGCGAGCTGCGTCCGCCCCCACCGCCACCCCCGTTGAAGCTGCAGCTCGCTTTGCTGTTTGTTTAACCCGGCGAAGATTTGCACGTCACGTTTCAGCCTGGAGTCGAGTTTTCTTGCCCCAGCTTCAACCCACTCCCACTCCAGACCTCCTGGGCCTCGGGACTCTTCTGCACGGCAAAGGCACCGTGTTGAGAGGTGGGCTTTCCCCCTGCAGCGCCCTGCTTTCGTGGACATGCTCCAGGAGCCTCTCTTGGGGACCTCCATTCGCGAGTGAGGGGGACAAGGCCACACGTGGGCGCCTCCACATTTTGCAGGCTGAAAGCATCCTGAAGTCCTCTCTGGAGCTTGTCGGTGTGAAAAGAGGTGTCCTTGGGCAGAGGACTGCGCGTGCTGGAGTCCCTTAGCAATCACTAGGCTGTTTGCTTTTCTTTCTGGGTCTTGCTTTCTCTTTCTTCTTCAGGGCAGTTGGAGCTGCTTTTGAAAGAGGAATACCAGCGTCCTCGGACAGACCTGGGTACTGGTTTTAATGTACCACATTCCCCTCCAAACCCACATCCTGCCTTTTAAAAGACATTGTAACCACGAACCCCAAAGGCTTGGGTGCAAAACAGGAGCTGTTGCTGAGGGGAGCAAGTAAGGAGGAGTGGAACTGTGCTCCCAGTGTTTTCTCTCCTCTTTGCAATACCTCTTGGCCCAAAAGTGCGACCCCTTTGGCTCCTCTCTCGGCCCTAAGATGGAGCCGACGTGCATCCTGGTGCACTCGGTGGGTGGGAGGGCTGTATGGGTTGCTTTCTTTGCTTTTCGTTATAATACCTTTGCTCAGAATGCCCCTGCCCCCCCCCCTACACACACTTTGGTTTAAGGTGTCGAAAGCACCGAGGAAATCGTGACAGAGAAAGAAGAGAGTGAGAAGACCCGCGGCTATCCTGAAGCTCGGTGCCCTGGGGGACTGGTGGAAATCAGCGGGTGGGGTGGAGAAGGTGTCAAAAGCTTCGGGGCACTCGGTGTGGAAGGTTAAGGGGGAATCCAGGCAGCCTGGAAGAGCCAGAAAGCCCGGCAGGGGGACACGGGAGCCGTTCCCAACAGGTGACTTCTGCCCTGGAAGGGGAGACTGGTGCTCGGCTTCCCGTAGAGTCTCGGCGTCGATTTACTAATAGAGGGATTGTTAAGTGGCAGCGAGGCGTTTCCGACTCACCCACTGCAGCCCGGGTAGGAGAAGCGCGGAGGTTTCCCCTTACCACCTCTTCCCCCACCTCCAACACACCCCCTCCTTAAGGAAACCTGACAACGTAATAAATAAGACAATCCGAAAAGCCACTTAGCACTAGTGACATTTTCAAGTCAACCATTTAAAACAGCTCACGCTGGCACCTCGGGCTCGGGGAGCCCTGGTTGCCTTCCTCTTCTCCTTCTTCTCCTCTGCTCCCCTCCCCCCTCCTGCCGTTTTCAATGTGGTTCCAGCTGTCAGACTCTCTACGTGGGCACTCGGATATTCCTTTAGATACACGCGTCGGGATCACAATAAAAGTTAGGGAAATCTTCCAAACGAACGTAGGCCGACACCCGGGCCACTTCAACTCTAAGGTGGGGCCCCAAGGAAATCTTCCCAAAGAAGTCCAGTTGTTTTTTTTTTTTTTTTCGTGTGACAGATTTTTTTTCATCCTCTAAAAAATCTAGTTTTTAAACAAAGATCAATGTGTTATGCTAAAGTGTTGAGCTGACTGTTAAAACATTTGGGGAAATAATGACAATGTAACAAAGGCCTGGTTTGGAGTGAATCATCACCCTTTTAAAAGTTAAAGCAATTTTCGGGAGAATAGCTTTCAGCAAACGCTTTACATTATTCAAAACGGCCAAATAATGCTCTATTATAGCGCCTGAATGCTGCCAGTCAGCCCCTAAGTGCAATTTGTGCAAAGGCCCCGGTGCCTTATCTCCACTTCTTTATAAAGAGGTGAATATAAAACAATTTCTTCCAAACCCAGACAGAGAGCACGAAAATTGCTTCCCTTTCTGCAATCAGGGCAATTTAACTGGAGTGCAATTAGCACTATTAAATGTCGATTCTGCATAAACAAATCTGACTGAGCAGCGAAAGTGGGGTGAGAACCTCATATACACTGAAACTGATTTTTTAAAATTATGTATCCGGGTCCTTTACAATTGATCCGTGACGTTTTCATCTTGGAATATATTTACATCGCAAATACACTATGGTTAAATCAACATAATTTTTTTTTGCAAAAAAAATTCAATAGGAATCCTAATAAAGAAGAATAGGGTAATTAAAGGGAAGAGTTCACTTCCTTTGAACAAATATTGTTTCTCCCATCTTGCCTCTCCGGAGAGCTTTGATCTGAGCAACTGCTCAAGTTGCTGCGTTTAGAAGGCGAAGCCGGGGAAACAATTCCGTCATTAGCGCTGATCCGAAGGACTGGAGCTTGTACACGACAGGAAAAAAAAAATGCTTCTCCCCGATGCACAGGAAGCAGGGTGGGGACGGGGAGAACCATCTATCTTCTGAATAAATCGAAATATTAGGTGGCTGCCCAGTCGCCCCGGGGCTTCAGCCACTCTCAGAGTTAGCAACGGATACACAGCACTGGGGTGGGGTGAGGTCGACTTGGGGAGACTTGAGGATGTGGGCGGGAGGGGAGGGGTTGGGGGAGGAGGAACCGAAGGTTCTCGCATGGGCCCTGCTGGTTGCTGCCAAAGCCATGACCACCAGGATCGGGATGCCCGGAGGGCGGGAACCGGGGAGAGGGAAGCGAGAGGAGCCGGTAAAAAGCATTTATCTGACCTGTCCTCCTCCCACCTGCCTTTATTTACTTATTTGGTAAGCCACAGCTCTCCCCTTTTGAATCATTTGCTCAGTTAATTATGCTTTTCATTTGCATGATCTACACTAGAACAGTGATTATCAGGTCAGCCCGATGTGGGGATTGGGGAGATACATTAATAACTTGGGTTAAAAAAAAAAAAAAAAAAAAAAGCTGCCCCTGTGTACCATAGTCGCCTGCCATGAACAAGGGCGAAGGAAGCGGGGACAGACGCCAGCGCCTGTTGAGTGCTATGAATCCTTTCCACAGTTGGAGCTTGCCAGTTGTGGGTGCAAATGAAATGCAGCTTTTGATTAGAAGGGAATCTTTTATAGTTAACACATATTTATATTTTAAAAAGCGCCAGCCTTCAGATCAAATGAATGGAGAAAATTAATTGAAAATTGAGGAACTCTCCCACAATTTCTGCTGAGCTTTCATTTAATACTTGTTCTAAAACGCCCTAATTCCAGCCCAACCCTTGCATATAAAAGAGCCTGGAAGGATCTTTTCTTTACCTCAGAAGTGAGGCTGCTATTTAGAGGTGGCAGGAGATGCAAATCCTTCTTGCCTGGAAGGTATGCTGGAGAAAGTGAATACCCCTGGTCTCTTAAGTACACTCCAAACATTTGCTTCACTACCAGTTTTCTGCTGTTACATGTATCTGGGCCTTATATTTTAAGCGTGCCTTGATCTGTTTATCTGAGCCAAAAATGCATTAACAATTAAAGGAAAGACTCTGGTGTGTCAAAGGAAGGAAGGTGACTGTAGACTGTGTGATGATTTTAATGACTGCAATTATTGGAAGATTATTCAACAAGCATCATAGATTTGTTTACTGCATTACTCTGAAACTATGGGGGGCCTATTGGGCTTGGAGTTTCACCTTCCTCCTTCCATCACCAACTACCATAGAGGGGTCTTAGACCTAAGCGAATGTGTCATTCTGTGTTGGCTTGCTTCTTTTTTAGAGCATTTTTACCAAAATAAGGCACAATTGTTGTCTCAGCCAACTTAAAGGGAACCATCTCTGGAACATTAAAGTATCTTTTGAGTTAATA